GCTGCTTCAATCTCACAGCATTACAGCCACCTAGGCTTCTTCTCTGTTTTTCAAAGATGCCAAGCTTGTTCCTGCCTTAGGGCCTTTGCACTGACTGTTCCCTCAACCTAGAGGTAACTGCCCCCGGGCTTTGTAGGGCTGGTTCTTTCTGGTCATTCGGGTTTCAGCTCAAAAGATCTTCTATGGTCCTGCAATTCAAAGTAGACTTTCCCTCCCTCCCCAGGCCCTCCTCTCCCTGCTGTCACTATCCCATTAGCCATCATATGTCACCCAATACTTGTCCATCGTGAAACTTATTTTTACATCTTTTTTTTTTCTTTCTTTTATTCCCCTAGTACTGGGGATAGAACCCAGAGTCTCACACATTCTAAGCAGGCACTCTACCTCTGAGCTACATCCCAAGCCCTCTCTTTTTTTCTTTCTGTAGTTATCTATTTATTGGTACTGGGGATTGAATCCCGGGGCACTGAACTACTGAGCCACATACCCAGCCTTTTTTGTATTTTATTTATATACAGGGTCTCTCTGAATTGCTTAGGGCCTCGCTAAGTTGCCTCAGTCTCCTGAGCTGCTGAGATTACAAGCATGCACCACCGCACCTGGCTTTCTATTTTTAACTGAAGATATATGCAGTCACTGATACAAAATTTTAATAATTTGAGGATAAAAAGTGTCCTTCACCTCCCTGTTACCCAGACACACAGTTCTATTTCTGCCCAAAGACAATAACTATTTCTACTTTCTTATATATCTTTCTAGATATATTCCCTAAAATAACAAGCATATATTCTTTTTTGATGAGTAATGTGTGTATGTGTGCATACACAGAACTATAGTTCTGCACCTTTTTGTGCTTATTAAAAATACTGCGAGGGGCTGGGGATGTGGCTCAAGTGGTAGCACGCTTGCCTGGCGTGCGTGCGGCCCGGGTTCGATCCTCAGCACCACATACAAACAAAGATGTTGTGTCCGCCAAAAACTAAAAAATAAATATTAAAAAAATACTCTCTCTCTCTCTCTCTCTCTCTCTCTCTCATTCTCTCTCTCTCTGTCTCTCTCTCTCTTTAAAAAAAAAAAAAAAAAAAAAAAAAAAAAAAGAAAAAAAGACTTATCTACAATTGCATTGCAGCGTGTGAAGAGCCAGAACTAGGACACAGGTCTAAAAAAAAAAAAAAAAAAAATACTGCGAGCCAAGCACAATGGTGCATACCGGTAATCCTAGCATCTCTGGAGGTTGAGGCAGGAGGATCACAGTTCAAGGTCAGCCTTAGCAACTTAGCAAGGCCCTCAAAAACTTAGTGAGAACTTTTCTCAAAATAAAAAATTAAAAGGGCTGGGGATGGAACTCAGTGGTAAAGCACCCTCAGGTTCAATCCCGTGTGTGTGTGTGTGTGTGTGTGTGTGGAGAGAGAGAGAGAAAGAGAGAGAGAGAGAAGATTTTTCCATGCCAGTACATTTCTATTGATTTCTATTCAGCATTAATTGAAAGAAATTCATTCCCTGTCAATGGGCATTTCATTATTATTATTTTTGTTATTCCAAAATGACAAGTGCTGCCACAACTAGCTTTGTACTTACAGCATTTGCACTTGTGTAGGTATACCTGGGAATGAAATTGCTCGGTTACAGAGTGTTCATATTTTCCAGTCTGATAGTGCCAAATTATCCTACTGAGTGGTCGTACAATGTGTTCTTCCCTTAGCAATGGCATTATCTTGGTCTTTTGTCTGATACTTGTTTGTGTCCCTCCTCTATGAGAATGAACAGTGCCTTGTTGATCATTCTGTCTCCAGAGTGTTGCACATTACAAACCTTAATAAATATTTGATGAATAAGGAACCCTCATGGTAAATAATCACCAGTGTTTGCTCTAAGGGCATGGTCAGCTTGCCATTGAGCCCTTACCATACTGTGTGACTTGCTTTGTCTATACTGGGAACCATTTCTTTTATTTTCTTTGTACCAGGGATTGAAACACTGAGCTACATCCCCAGCTCTTTTATTTAGGTTGTTTACAGCCTCACTAAGTTGCTGAGTTTGGCTTTGAAACTGCAATCCTCCTGCCTCAGCCTCTGGAGCTACTGGGATTACAGGCATGCATCACCTCGCCTGGCTTCTAATTGATTTTCATTCATGGTTCATGATTGGAGCAGCCTCCATTCTACAACACAGAATGAAGGCTTCCAATGGGCAATAGCGGGAGAGTGGGTTTTTAAGGCAGGAACAAGGGAACAGAACAATAGGGGAAAAGTTAATTGGTTTTTTGTTTGTTTGTTTTGGTATTGGGGATTGAACTCAGGAGCACTCGACCATTGAGCCATATCCCCAGCCCCATTTTGTATTTTATTTAGAGACAGGGTCTCACTGAGTTGCTCTGTGCCTTGCTGTTGCTGAGGCTGGCTTTGAACTCTCAATTCTCCTGCCTCAGCCTCCTGAGCTGCTAGGATTACAGGTATGTGCCACCATCCCTGGCATCAGATGACTTTTTTGATTGTGTGTTGGAAATTGAATCCAGCTAGGGCTTCAAGTGAGCTAGGCAAGTATTTTACACTGAGCTATAGTCCCAGTTCATACCAGGTTACTTCTTTTGTAAGGATTAAAGCAGCGGGGAATTCCTTATTACACTCACTTAGAAATCTTCTGTTCTCCAGAACAGCTGATCTGTTTTGCGATCTAGCTACTTCTCTAATGATTATGTGGTATTTAGCACAAATAACTCCATTTTGATCTCTTCTTCGGGCCCCAGTGCAGGGGCTCAGTCCAAACAATGACCTCCCACAATTTTGTTTAACAACCCTATCTCCCAACAGGACAACAGTACAGATGTCTTTAAGAGGATTGTGTTCTCTGTCAAGCACATAGGCACGTACTCAGGGGTCTATGAAGCACTTGGATCCTGAACAAATTTTCACTGTTGGCTCAAAATATGCTACGAAAATTAATATTTATCAAATGTATATAAATGTAGCAGTATTTAAGTTATTAACAGTAACTCAACTATAATTTTTATTTAATATGGGATACTGCCACATTTCAATATATTTGATATAATATAGGATGAGACTTTCAAATTTGGAACCTGAAGAGCTGGGATGTAGCTCAGTTGTAGAGAACCTGCTTAGAATGTGCAAGGTCCTGCGTTTGAAAAAAAAAAAAAGTTGAAACTTAAAAGTTTTGAAAGAGTCATGTCTGTACATACAAGTTTTCTCAAAGGAAGAATACTTATTTGACAAGACTTCATCCTCTTTGATCCCAAATGTCCTCATCTTTAAATGAGGATCTTCATAAAAATATTCATCCCAACACTGTAAGGACAAAATGAAAAAAATTGTTATGAAAGGGCTAATAGGTCAAATGCAAAGAAGTATTGGCACTTGATTGTTTCCAATCAGCTAACGAAGGGCTGAACAATTGTTTTATTCATTTCAGCTTCTCAGTATCAACTAGGTGCTTAGCTCCAGGACACATTATTCAAGTCATATTAACTTGAAAAAGTGCCATCCACAGAAAATAAAACGTGAATTGTGTGTCCTGGCTTTACTTAGTGGCATAGTGCTAGAGCTAAGGACTCAGGATATGTTTGCTAGGTGACTGAATGAATGGAGGCAGATGTTAACTTCTTGCTTATTCCACTACCTCCCCAATCCTAACTCCCTCTCCAGGATACAAAGGAACAATCTGACAAGGAGTCAAAGAGTGGGGGAGGAGAAAAGGCAGTCATTAGCTACCTGACTTCAATGCTTCAATGAGATTTGCTTGAGTGAGTGGGTGCTGGTGGTCGTTGTGGGAGGTATGAGGAGTTACCAAAGCAAGCATCCTATTTCCAATGGACTCCCTTGATTTTTTCCTCAAATATTACAGTTTTTCTATCTCAGTATGTAAGCATGCTGGTGATTTAGCAGCTCCAGATTTAAGTAACCAGTGTTATGTTGTTCATTCATTAAAAGAAGAAAGTGCACTTAGCTCCTTAAGTCTAGTTTTATGCTAGTGCTGGAGGTAGAGAAGTAAGCAAAATAGGAGAGGCAGATGGGCAGGTGGCACACACCTGAAATCCCAGCGGCTGGAGAGGCTGAAGCAGGAGCATCATGAGTTCAAAGCCAACCTCAGCAAAAGTGAGGCGCTAAGCAATTCAGTGGGACCCTGTCTCCAAATACAAAACAGGACTGCGGATGTGGTTCAGTGGTCGAGAGCCCCCCCCAGTTCAATTCCCCATTCCCAAAACAAACAACAACAACAAACAAACAACAACAAAAAATCAGGAGAGATACCCTATTCCTCCCTTGTGGGTAAAACAGACCATTGTATCACCCTCCAGGTGTTAACAATCACCCTAGGAGTTGGTGTTTGAATTAACAATGGAAGGGTAATCAAGAGTGAGAGAGTGATACAAATAAAACAAAGACAGACTTGAAAAACATGGCCCTTTGAAGAGGATCTGAAGCAAAAAAGTGAAGACTAGAGGGCAGGAGCCAGATTATGCAAGGCTTGTGAAGTTTGTATTTTATTATCCTGAAGGCAATCATGGGAAACTAGTAAAGAACTCTAAGAAAAGAAAATGACGTAATCAAATTTGAGTTTTAGAAATGGATCTCGGATTGGAGGATGCAAAAGTAGACAAGGAAACGCTTTGAGGGGCTACTGCAGCTGTCTCAAGGACAAATGATAACGTCTTTAACCAAGGTGGTGCCAGAAGAGATGGAGAGAAGTAAGTAAACAGTGCCAGGTACATTTGGGAACTGAAATCCAACAGAGCTGGTGACAGAATTAGCCCTATTCCAAACAAAAAGAGCCCCTAGAGGAGAAAAAAAAAATCACTCCTGAACCCACCAGGAGTCCCCTTTCCCTTAACTCTCGATTCAATATATGCAGATAGCTATGGGACGAGGGGCGGGGCAGGCGCCCACAAAAATCCGGGAACCTTCATTTAAAGTAGGCGGACATCAGCGTAGAGTATAACGGAGATGACAGGTACTTCCGGTTACTCCGGAAGTGAAGGCGTCACAGGCTCTTAAGTTCCTCCCTCGGAGGCCAGCCAGAGTTACAGTATGGCCGGCCGCGCGGCGCGGCTGGTACTACTAGCCGGAGCAGCCGCGCTAGCAAGCGGCTCTCAGGGCGACCGCGAGCCGGTGTACCGCGACTGCGTGCTTCGGTGCGAGGAGCGGAACTGCTCGGGGGGCGCACTGAGGCACTTCCGCTCCCGCCAGCCAATCTACATGACTCTGGCAGGTAAGCCCCACCCACCATAAGCCACGCCCACTTGACTGTGGCCCCGCCCATTACACCCTAGTTGTTCTGCGATCTTTGACCCTTAGTTTCCCCTCCCGGTCTCTTGTAAGTGTGGTTGGCTTCAGGGTTATGGGGGTCTCATCAGCTGTCTGACTTTCCCACAAGCTTTTACTTTATGTTTACTATGTCAGACCCGTTATTTATTAAGTACTAACTGCATACAAGGCCCTGGAATGACACAGTAATCAGACCAAAGTCTTAATCTTTGGAGCTTTCAGTCCTTAGCCTTCCCAAACAGAATGATTTGAGTCCTAAAGGACCTTTAAATTAAGCATTAGATGTATTTGGGAGAGGAAGGAAGGAATTCTAGCTCTGAGGGGGTAGGGAAGGGATCATCTGGGAATATTTTGTGGAAGAGGGTCTTCCAGATGTTTACATTAAATTTACACCCATGACTGTATTGGGCAAGGAACCAACAAACTGAGCACCTACCATGTGATAGATGTCACAATAGGTCAGTTAACTTTCACCACCACTCTTTGAAGTAGTTTCTCTAATCCTAGATGTGGTAGTTAAATACCCAGCCTGAGGTCATATGGGTGGTAAATAGTTTCCAGTTCTGACTTATTTGACCACAAGCCTGTCTTCTTTTCTACCCCTTTCTATTCTAGACAGAGGGAATAGAGAAAGTGAGTGTCCTGGGAAGACCTGGGCACTCCCAGCAGCTTGGATTACCCAGGGAGCAAGGAGCATGAAAAGGAGTAGTGGCAGTAAAGATGGAAAGGTGGTTTAGGACCTCAGGTCAGGATGAAGGATTTGAGTTTATTTTCATAGCAGGGACAAGACAGCAAGGACTCCTCCCTGGTAAATAAAAGTAAATCCCTTGTTGAGGTAGGTCAGACATAAACCCAATTCTCCATAGATAAGGCCATCAGATGCCAAGATCTCCATCTTGGACAAAAGGAGATGAAATATCTCTATTTGCTCACTGCATACCCAACCCTAGATTACAGTTACATATATACACATCCCTGGCCCTTGTGTCCACTATCTCTCTTCTCTCCAAGTGGGAAGCTAGAATTTTGGAATTTCTTCTGATTCTCTCCAACCTGCAGGCTCTCTTGGCCTGCATTTGTGCTTGGACTCCATTCACACCCCCTCTACACCTCCCTGGGCTGGAGAGTACACAAACCACATTTGTCTGTTTCAGGTTGGACTTGTCATGACGACTGTAAGTATGAATGTATGTGGGTCACTGTTGACATGTACCTCCAGGATGGTCACAGAGTGCCTCAGTTCCATGGCAAGGTGAGTTGGAGGGTCACGGAAGGATATGGCAATTATATGGTGGGAGTAAGATGCCTTGAAGTTGGCCAACACTGTCTAAGCTATTTGAGGTATGGGTGACAGATATGTATTTAAGGCAGGTACCTGTTCTTCTCAGAATCTGTTGGTTTTCATAGCATCTGATGAGACCAATGTGTTTTGCTTCTGAATATTGAGTAACAAGATCTGAAAAGCTTTGGAGCCTCCAACTTCTTGAGGTGCCCATCTTGCTTCAGGGACAAATTCCTTGCCCCACTATGACATGTTTCTCCAATACATATCTGGATCAATAGTAATATCCCTCAGATTGCCCAGTGAGGCAATTTTTTTCTGGTGCCTTTTAATCCAGTATTATCTCATTCTAACTTGTTGAGGTTAACAGAAATTATTCTCCCCAATTTGCCACAGAGTAAGGTGATACTCAGAGCACTGGGTCAGTAGCAGAGGAGGGATTGGGACCTGTTTCTGGATAGCAGGTCTGTACTGTTTCTGCTACGCCATAAGTCATCCCACTGGTATCCCCAGAGATGGGGCTGACAGAGTTGTGCATGTTGTCCAGGATAGGGGATCCTATCCTTAACCAGGGACTGGAGAGAAGAATTGACCTGGAGAGAATCAGAGGCTTTGACTAAAATTCAGAACTAAGACCTATAGATGCAGCATGTCAAGAAAAGATTGATTGAAACTAGGTACAGTAGCACTTACCTATAATCCCAGTGACTCAGGAGGCTGAATCAGGAGAATTGCACATACAAGGCTAGCCTCAGCAACTTAGTGAGAACCTGTCTCCAAAGTACCACTGAGGTTGTGCTCTGTGGTAAAGTTCCCATGGGTTCAATCCAGAGTACCAAAAAGGAAAAAGAAAAAGACTGGGGATGTAGACCAGTAGTAGAGCACATGTCTAGAATGCATGAGGTCCTGGATTCCATCCCCAGAGCCCTCCCCCAAATAAAAAAGATTGGGTTGCTTGTCCCTCAGGTCCCCTCCATCTGCTCCTTTTTCAGTGGCCTTTCTCCCGGTTCCTGTTCTTCCAAGAGCCAGCTTCTGCCCTGGCCTCTTTCCTCAATGGCTTGGCCAGTCTGATGATGCTCTGCCGCTACCGCACTTCCGTGCCAGCCTCCTCTCCTATGTACCACACCTGTGTGGCCTTCGCCTGGGTAGGTAACCTGGTGGGATTCCCGCTGTACACTTTATCTAGGAAGGAGGAACTCTGAGATTCCCACTGACACCTGACAGGGCTTCCGCCCAGCCAGCTTCTCCTCTGTTTCCAGGGCTGAAGTTGCAGCTATGGGGTGGTCAGCCCTGGTGAGAAAGACGGGAAGGTGCTGAGTCAAGCTTTACCTTTTTAGAACAGTCTAGAAGGCTGTTTGGAAAGGAAGGAAGAAAGAAACATTTTTCTTGTCCTCAGAAGAAGCCACTAAAAGACCCAGTAGGGCAGTTTATGAGCACAGAAGAGAGACAGGCAGCAGGGAGAGGCTGGGACCATAGGCTTTGCAGAGGTCCACTCTGGAGAACTTGGAGTGATCCCAGTTCCAGCCCAGGCCTGTAGGTAGTAGCAGCTATAGCACTCTTTCTGGAGCTCACCCTGGTCTTAGTATATCCCAGGGTGTGTACCATCCAAATACAAAAGGGCTCTCAGCCTCACGGTGAGACTACTCTTTGAAGAACCAGTATCCAGGGCCTGGAACTGTGTGAAAAAAATGGACTAAAGCACAGATGTGAACTGTGACAACCTTGGGGTGGGGTCAAAAGTAAGATATTGCAGAGATTGTCTCTAGATCAGAGCTTCCCTGCTAGACCTTAAGGAAAAAGTTCCCACTCACCTTCATGCCATCAAAGCCACCATTCATTCACATATTTAGCATGTACTATATATGTGCCAGGCACTTTGTTGGGTGCTGAGGATCCAAAAGTATATTTAAAAAGATAGGGGCTGGGGATGTGGCTCAAGCGGTAGCGTGCTCGCCTGGCATGCGTGCGGCCCGGGTTCGATCCTCAGCACCACATACAAACAAAGATGTTGTGTCCTCCGAAAACTGAAAAATAAATATTGAAATTCTCAAAAAAAATAAAAAATAAAAAGATAGGTTCCTGCCCTGTGGTACTAATCACACAATCATACAATTGAATTTAAAAGTACAGTAATGAAAAGGTGCAGTGGAAGCTGGGCACAGTGGTACATGACTAAAAACCCAGCTACCAGGGAGGCTGAGGCAGGAGCATCAAAAGTTCAAGGCCAACTGGGCAATTTAGCAAGACCTTGTCTCAAAACTAAAAGTAAGCTGAGTACAGTGACATATACCTGTAATCCCAGCAGCTTGGGAGGCTGAGGCAGGAGTTTCGCGAGTTCAAAGCCAGCCTCAGCAATTTATCAAGGCACTAAGCAACTCAGTGAGACCCTGTCTCTGAATAAAATACAAAATAGGCCTGGGGATATGGCTCAGTGGTCGAGTGCTCCTGAGTTCAATTCCCGGTACCGCCACCCCCAAGAAAAAGAGCTGTAGGGTATGTGAAAGGGGCAGGACCATCACAGAGCAGTCAGGAGGCTTCCCTGAGGAAGGGGATGGGAGGAAAGATGGGAATGATGAGTGAAAGTTACCAGGTAAATTTGAGCAGAAGAGGGCTGGGGGTGTAGCTCAGTTGTGCCTGAGTGAGAGCTACCAAGTCAGTGGCAATGAATAGCCTCCAGCACTGTCTGACTCCAGGGCCTGAGGGCTCAGCACCTCTCCATGGCTGCCTGCATGTCCTGTGAGGAATGTTGGTTGAGCACTGGTCAATGTGGGCAGAGGCAGGAATTTGCACTTGTGGGGCTGAAGCCCCTGCCCCAGGGAGCCGAGCATAGTGTGAATACAGATCCAGCCAGCCCTGGTGGCAGGACACAGGCTGAACCCAGGAGCCAAAGAGATCCCATCCTCTGGTTGGTGCCAGGGAAGCCCAGGGAGGGGGTGAGGTGTCATTGGGAATTGCAAGCCTGGTAAGGCTTAGACACAGACACACTGGGGGAGAGGAGATAGGATGCAGGCATTTCCAGCATTCCTAGCTAAGGGCTGGGGAATGACACATGGGACCTACGAGGCAAGCTTGGATTGGTCAGCTTGGCTGCAGTGTGGCCGTGAGAAGAGGAACAGAGGGAGATGAAATGGAGCAGAGAGGGCCAAATGCCAGGTGGGGGTAGAGCTTCTGCTTTAGGCAGGGGCTTGGCACACATGGTTTTGGGCATGGGTGAGATAGAGCCACCACTTCCTGTGTAGGCCTGTCACAGGGAAGGGAATTTGGTCTTGGCCAGGAAAGTAGGAAAGTGAGGAGGTTACACCTGTCCCCTTTCCCTTGGGATTCTTCAGGGACACTGCTTGTCTGGGCTCACTGCCTGTATCTCCCCTTTGCCTCCTTCTCTCTTGGAGAACGTGGGACAGCTGTGCCTGAACACTCTGAGCAGTGCTCAAAGCCTGCATGATAGGGCCTCAGGTCCAAGGGATCCTCAGAAGGTCCCAGCCCTTGCCTGCCTAAAATGTGCTAGAAACCACTAGTCACGTCACAACTCTGGTCTTGATCTCCTTGTTTCTTGGGTCTTTTGTCTCAGTGGTATCAGCAGTTCAGCTTCCGTCTTAGCAAGGGGTCACCCCTCCCAAGGATACCCTGCAGTCCATTGTGACCAAGGACACTTAGAAAAGGACCCCAGGGACGTTGAGGTGGGAGAGGGTACCCTACAGAATATGGGATTCTGAGTTTGGGGTCCTTCTCATGCCACCCCCAGGCCCTCAAGGGACATATCCTCAGAGCCCGTACCACTTTGATGATCTAGTTGGATTTTACATTTGATCTTGAGCCTGTGTGTGTTTCTGTAGGAGGGAGGGATCCCAAGCCATTCAGAGGGTGTGACAATGGACTTTGTCCTTGGCTGGGTCTTCTGGAGTGAGTGGGGCCCCTGATTTCTGTTGGCTGCAGGTGGGAAGGCCCCTCACCTACTCCAGGTTAGTCTTACAGGAGGGGTGTCTCAGGCTTTTTCTCTGGGAGACAAGGAAACTCTTGTGCCAAAGCTGTATCAGGCAGCCCCTGGGCTGGGGCTGTAGCTCAGTGGCAGAGAGCTTGCCTACCACGTGTGAAGCCCTGGGTTCGATCCCCAGCACCACATAAAATAAATAAATAAATAAATAAAAGGCATTATGTCCATCTACAACTAAAAAAATAAATATTTTTAAAAAACATAAGGCAGCCACTGCATTCCTCTGTAGGCTTGGGCTTGGGCTGGGCAGCAGCCAGGCAGAGCTGAGGAGCCCACCGAAGCTCTGTACACTGTGGCCCTTGGACTTCACGGAGCAGGGGGCCCTGGCTCTTTGCCAAAATTAGAAGGGTAAACCAATTTTTCATCCCTTTATCTAGTGGGGAAAAGCCCCCACGTACAAGAGTGAAACAAAGAATGGCAGGGAATCCAGTCTGTCTCTGTAGTATGATTTGTGGAGGTAGGCACTGATTATATCATCCCTGTTGAGGAAACTATGAGAAAAGATAGGCTGAGGATATAGCAGAATGATGGTAGACTTCAGGAAGGACTTCCTGACCATCAGATAAGACAGTGGAACAGAAAATCAAGGAATTCTTTGGAAAAAGCCTCTATCTCTCAGGAGTGAGCTGGGACAGGCTTGTCTTGCCTGAGGCATGGAGCGAGACACTGTGGCCTCGGTGGTGGGGGCAGTAGGCATCATATTTAACATTCTACCTCCCCCACTTCTGAGACACGGAGCTATTTAAAGACTCACTTGTCCCCACCACTACGGTGTCAATGACAGCCCCTAGCACTGGGGCTTAGCACTGGGGTCGAATTCCTGACAGATCTGGCTCACTTGGCATCCAACCAGTTTCACGGCTGTGATATTTTTGTCTCAATTTTCTTATTTTCCAACAGACTGAAACAGCCTCCTGCTCCCCCCACCAGCTTTTCCTGTCCCCCTCATCCCCACCCACACTGGCTCCCTACCCCTGGCTGCCTCCTTTTCTCAGTGTTTGCACAGAGTTCTTAGTGCCTTGGGCCCAGCCATCACCCTCCTGGCCAGTTACACTGTCTGCCCCTCCCATCCCACTAGGGCCTGGCCGAGAAGCCTGGGAGTAGTGGTATATTTGTATCTTGGGACTGTCCCTTCCTTCCACATCCATCTGTCCCCTTTGCTTGTGTCTTGATTACAAACTCTGAAGAGAAACAGGATCTGTTAGGTCCATACTGGTGGGATTGTGGCTCAGGAGCAGGGAGCAAGGGGCTCTTCTCACAGCTGAGGCATCTACAGTCTGGGATCCAGGGGCCTTCTTCTGCCCCATAGTCTGACCTTGAACTTTGTGACCCTTGAGGAAAGGAGAATGGGGATGCATGGTGGAGGTCTGCCTGTACATGATGTAGGACATGGACATTTATGGAATCCCCGCCGTAGGCCAGCAGTGATAGTAGTGGCCCTTTCTGGAGTGGCTGCTCCATGCCAGGCCTTTGTGACATCATCCTCACAGCCCTCCTGTGGAGGAAGTGTTGTTTCTAACCCCATTTCCTAGGTGAACAAATAGCTGAAGCTCAGTTACTTGTCCAAGAACATAGGTAAGCTGGGCAGGGCGGCACACAGCTGACCTCCCAGCTCCTAGGGAAGCTGAGGCAGGAGGATCGCTTGAGCCCAGGAGTTCGAGGCCAGTCTGGGCAACATAGTGAGTCCCTATCCCAAAAAACAAAATCCAACAAAACAGAAGAAAACACAGTTGTTTAGGGGCTGGAGCAGTACTTGAGCTCAGGGTCTGTCTCATTGTAAAGACTCTGTACTTTTCTGTCTCCGGCCTGCACCTGTGGGGGTGGGCTAGCAGCAGGGGAGACCAGTTTCTCAGCCTAGACCACCTTAGCCTGGTGGGAGATTAAGAGGCAGACTTCTTCTCGGTGGCCTTTGGGCTATGGGAGAGCTGTGAGAGTTCCATGCTGGCCCACCGATAAAGAAAATAGCAACTAAGGCTTTAAACCCCATCCTGGACACCATGTTGCATGCTGTGTTTGTACAGGTGCTCACTCAATCCTGATCTACACTGATATTATTCCCATTTTACAGATGAGACAACTGAGGCACAGCAAGGCTAAATAACTTGCCTAAGGACACACAGGAAATGCAGAGCCAGGATTTGAACCCTGGCAGTCTGGCTCTAGGGGCTGCATTGTTAATGACACAACTTCCCAAGTCTGAGGGAAGGGTCAGAAGAGGAGCCCCATATGGGACACTCCCAGGGGAAAAGGGCCATCTCAGGGGTGCAGAGTCCAAGCTTCAGGTGGGTCTCTGTAAGTGGAAGGCACTCTGGGAAGGCAGGTGGACAAGGGACCCAAAGCCCTGCCCTGTGTGGAGCTGAAGCTTGGCCAGTGCACTTCCACCCCTGCTTTTAGTGTTCCAACCGCCACTTAGCTCAGTCCTCTTGTCACCTCCCCCTTCCTGTTGTGGGTGACAAGGAGGCCTGGCTGGCTGCCAGTCCTTGCTGTCTTCCCCTCCTCCTCCCCACACTGGTTCCAGGGACACTGTCCTTTCTAAGGATGTCCCTGTGCCTGGTCTGCGTGACTGCCTGGGCCCTGTGTCCAGCCCAGGGCCTGCTCGTCTCCCCACGTTTACCATACACCCCACAGACTCTGGGGGAGTGTCCAAAGAAGCCACCAGAGGTAGACTCACTTCCTAGCTCCAGACTGTGCCTCCATGTTGTCCCTGGGGAGGAGCCTCGAGACTGGTGGAAGGGGCAGAATGGCCTTCCCTCAGGGCAGGAAGGCACTGAAGACCACTCAAGCCAGCTGGTGACAGGTCCCAGGGGAGATCTTGGGCCTCTGCAGCCTGGCAGCATGAGGGTGCCTGGCTGGCTTTGCCACTGAGCCCTGCCCTGCCTCCACCCTGGGTCCCCCCACCCCCCTCCGCTCCCCAGGCCTGTCAGGCCCTACAGAGAGGCTTCTTCCCTTGCTCCCCCTGCCCTCTGCCTGGCCAGTTGTCCTGGCACCTAAGTGCGCAGCCTTTTCCATGTCCGGCAGGCCGGGCCCACCCTGGACACCCCTCCCCAGCTCCGGGGCAGGCCAGGCCTGGCCCCTGCTCTTTCTTCCTGGGACTGTCTGTCCCTGGCTTCCCTGCTGCTATTTGTAACTGCTCCTCAGCCCACCCCTCCCCGAAGAAAGTGCCAGCACCACCTCCCAGAAGACCTGGGGCTCATTTACAGGATGATTCTTACTCTCTCCATGCATTTAATTTCCAGGAAGAAGGCCTCAGATATTCCCCTGGACCCTGCCCACTGCAGCCCCTTCATTCCTGCCCTGCTCCGCCCAGGTCTTAAGAGCAGCTCTGGTCTGGCAAGTCAGGCCGGCCCAGCCAGGAGGAAGCTGGGCTAGACTGCCACTGGAGTCCTGGTCCTAGGACTGGGCCCAGTGGGATCTGCTGGATCTCCCTGCCTTGCTTGCTTTTGGGGCACGCCCCAAGCTGGCTCAAGCCTTTTCCACCCCACCCACCTCATTCCCGCCCCCAGAGGCTGAGGTCACCAGCTCCCCTGGGCCCGGGTGGGGCTGTCATCACCTGGCAGTTGGGGGAGGAGGTGAGGCCCCTGCGGCCTGTTGTCTTAGTGATTGAGTAACCAAGGATCTTGGCTCTGCCAGAACTGGTTCCCAGGCCAGGCTAGAACTTGTGGAGGCTGCAGCCCCCCAACCCCTCCTCCATGGCCTTAGGGGCTGGGGATTATGGGGAGTTGACCTGAGGGGACTGGACTGGGCCTGGATGGGGGACACAAGTTTGCTGGGGGTGGGGCTCCAGGGGCATGGGAAAGCACATTTCTTGGCCACCAGAGCCCTTTCCTAAAGATGAGGTGGAGAGGGACCCTGGGGTCTCCCAACCTTGGGGCAACATGTTCATTGGCCCTTCCATCCTCAGGTGTCCCTCAATGCTTGGTTCTGGTCTACAGTCTTCCACACCAGGGACACTGACCTCACAGAGGTGAGAGCCCCCATTTCCCTCTCCTGCATGAGACTGTCCCCGAGAGCCCGGGGTGGGGGGGGGTGGCAGAGCAGGGCTCGGGAGTGCAGCTGCCCTTGGCTGGGCATTCTAATAACACACTCGAGCTTCCCAGCCTGGCGAGGTAGGTCTGATGGTTAGCTCTAACCATGAGGCAGCTGAGCCTTGGGACGTGAAATCATTTGCTCAGGGCCACCTGGTGAGTGAGGGGCTGCAGTCAGGGTAGAGCGCACAGCTAACAGACTCAGGCACTGGGCGTCGATGGTAGGTTCTCCTGCCCCACAGCCTGGCAGAGCCCGCTGCTGAGCAGCACACTGTAGGCTGTGAGCACAAGGGTCAGTCTGTCACCTCCACAGTGAAACGGCAATAGGCAGAATGAGCCGGAGAAGAGACCCCTCTGACTGCAAGGTCAGGCCCCTTCCCCTCCCTTCCTCCACCCACAGTGGCTCATCTGGGCCACAAAGCTGTTCAGTCTCCAGCGACACTCATGGGCTCCCCTTGTCCTCAGAAAATGGACTACTTCTGTGCCTCCACTGTCATCCTCCACTCAGTCTACTTGTGCTGCGTCAGGTATGCCTGTATTGGTGGCTGCAGGGACAGACTCAGGGCCAGGGTCAAAAAGGGGATGCTGCCCCAGGGCTGCCTTCTTTGGTCTCCCACACATCCCTGCTGTCCTAGATGGGGGTTCTGCAGAGGGCTGGGTGCCCTGGCTCCTCACAGGGACCTGCAGCACTTGGCCAAGGCCCCGGGGGTGGGGTGGGTGGAGTTCTGCCCCATCGGCCTGTTTTGGTGGGGGAAAGGGCAGTAGCTTTAGTGAACTCACTGATGTTGGGGGAGGAGAACTTCAGGGAGGGCTGCTCTGGTGACGGGCCACCTGCCACCACCTAAGCAGCTCTGGGTGGTGGGCAGGACTGTGGGGTTGCAGTACCCGGCCGTGGCCAGAGCCTTCCGGGCCTTCCTGCTGCTGCTGCTGACCACACATGTCTCCTACTTGAGCCTCGTGCACTTTGACTATGGCTACAACCTGGCGGCTAACGTGGCTTTCGGTGAGACAGAACTGAGGCGTTGGGTTGGGCCATCTGCAGAACTTTGGGGTGGGCATGGTGGGTGGCCCTTCTCTCTTCAGAAGAGAAGGTTCTAGAGAGAGACTTGCAGGGAGGAAGGGGGAGAATTTGAAGTGGGAGAGAGGGGAGGCTGGGAGGAGTGTCTGAGGATGTTCCCAGGGTCAGAGAGCACAGGAGGGGTGGCCTGAGGGAGGGGCCCAGAGAGTAAGCCTGTCCTGCCTGTGGCACCCAGGTCTGGTGAATGTGGTGTGGTGGCTGACCTGGTGCCTACGGAACCACCGGAGGCTGCCGCATGTGCGCAAGTGTGTGGTGGTGGTCTTGCTGCTGCAGGGGCTGTCCCTGCTGGAGCTGCTTGACTTCCCACCCTTCTTCTGGGTCCTGGACGCCCATGCCATCTGGCACATCAGCACCATTCCTGTTCACATCCTCTTTTTCAGGTTGGTGTCATCCCTTGCCCGGTGTTTGCCTTCCTTGTGCCCAATCCCTTGACAGGTCCTAGAAGAGACTGGGGACCCCATGTACCCTCTCACCCCTTCCCGCTTGCCTGCACTTACCCCCCTTGCCCAGGGAGCTTTAGAGCTGGGTTCTTTAGTGGGCTCCTCCCTTGGCCCGCAGCTTCCTGGAAGATGACAGCCTGTACCTGCTGAAGGAATCAGAAGCCAAGTTCAAGCTGGCCTGAAGACACTTGGAGTCATCTGGTCCTTTCCTACTGGCTTCTCCTTCCCCCTTCCACCTTCAGATGATTTGTTTTCTCCTTTTAGTTTCTTGAACTTGGACATGAGGAGTGTGGGCCCAGAATCATGTAGCTGCCCACCCTTGGCTGGCCCTCACAGGGCTTGGAGCCTGCCCTAGGGATGGCCTCACACCTATCATCTGGGGTCACAGAATGGGCAGCCCCTCTGGTTCCTGGAGCTGAACTGGGATAGAACTGTGTTCTGAGTCCCACTGAGAGGAAGGCCCTTAGGGATCCAGTGGGGTCCCCTTCTATTATTGGCACCCTGCTTTGGGGCACCACTAGGTGGTGCTAGAGGCCTGCTCTTTGGCTACCCGGTTTTAAGGCCAGTCTTAGAGGGACTAACCTGCTGGGATTGGGACTGGGGAGGGGTTTCACCATGACTTTTGCCCCAGCCAGGCTCCCAGGAGACCACACCACACATCCCTCTGAGCCAGGACACCAGAGGGCCCAGGACAAGAATCTGATGCTGTTCTGGTGCCAGGACTCCAGAGGGCAGGACAAGAATCTGATGCTGTTCTGGTTGGGAGCTTATGTGTGAATGTATAGGAGAGCATGGGCAGGCCAAGTACAGAGGTGACTGGGTAGCGAGCATGGCTCTGCGTGTGTGTAAGAGACAGCATGCATGTGCACAAGCTACTGCACTCGGGCCTAAGTGTGTAGTATAGAGTGTTTGTGCGTGTTCGAGGGCAGCTAGGTATATGTGGGTTTGGGGAATATGCATAGATTGAGTGTGAGTGTGCTTGTGGGTGTGTCTGAGGTGAGTGTAAATGCAAGTGAACGTGCCATGCAGTGCTGGGAATTGGGAGCAGGATGGGAATCAAGTCACCATCACCAATCACCAGCTCTGCCCAAGGCCTCAGGCAGGATGGAGTCTGGGGGTCCAGGCTGTATGCCTGCCTGTCCAGTGCCCCCTTTGCCATTCCCCTCCAAACCTCACAGGGCCCCCTCATAATTTAAGATCAGTACTAGCTCCTGGGGGCAGAGTGAAGAAGGAAAATGGGGATCCTGGGCCTTCTTCAGTCTCCCTGTCTCCTCACCTAGCATGTTTGGCCTTTCCTCCCCAGTTCCCTGCTCTAGCCCCTTTGCCACAGCCTGGATTTTGGTGTGTGGGTTGGCGGGTTGCACCGTGAATTCTAGGGACAAGGGAAGAGAACTGTGGTTGAGTCTGGTTTCTGCCATCCCCAGAGGCACTCACTATTCCAGGGTGACCCCAGGGAAGGCAGGAACCACACTATGCTTGTGTCCTGATAAAGGTGACCCCTAGCAATTGCCAGCAGTCCTGGCATTCCCTTGCCCCACAAGGATAGGGTATGTGGCTTCAGAAACTTTCCATCCTGAAGGCAGTCTGCAATTGAAGCCAGAATACTGTTGTTTTGCTCTATCTCTGCTCCCTAGCATAGGGAGCTATGCTAAAACTCTAACCTCAGAAACTTAGGTGGCCCATGTGAGGTTCTTTTGATACTAAAAACTATTTGAAGGCAGGATGGTAGTGAGGATGATGCTTAATAAACCAGTTCCCCTCACCCTCCCTTTTTCAGTTCATTTGTGTGCATAGGGTAGGCTGGAAGGAAGGAAGAGCTGGCTGGAGGCAGTAGACAGAGGTGGGATCTCTACCTAGGCATTGGGGGTGGGAATGGTAGGGACCAGATGCAGAGCTGGGCAGGGTTCAAGTCCAGCCTGGGGGAGGGAGCTGGCACTGTTTTTTTTCTTTCTCACATCCCAGGCCTGGATTGTAATACTCCCCATACACACCCAGAACCTGGCAATCTTGTCTCCCTGCTTTTCAGCTTTGGGTCTGCAGGCTCCACTACTGCTTGTTACTTAACCTTTTACTTAACCTCTCTGAGCTTCACCTGGAAATAGGCTAACAGGGTCCACCACTGAATGAAATGACTGAGTGACATGACAGATACAAGAGCCTGGCATACAACAGGTACCAAATGAGCTCCCCTGAGCTAGGCCTTCCTTAGTTTAGGAAGAATGAGTAGTACAGAAAGCTACCTTCATGGAAACTTCTGGAAAAGAAGAAAGGCTAGGGTTGATGCCTCCCACACCCTTATACTCAGAAGAGAACTCTGCACCCTTGTTGCTTCACAAGAAAGTCACAGATGGTACTGACACTTGACTGTACGGAATGATTTCTTTATTAGGTGCCACACAAGTAATAAGGGAACCTGGTAGGTGAGGACCACAGGGCATTGGGCACACTGGACACTCACACCTCCACCCCCACCTTCTTCTGGGCCCAGGCAAAGAAGATGCCCTTGACATCATCCACGCCTGTCCGGAGGTGGGTAGGCATGATGTAGGTGCGAAGGTCCCGTACCTCATAGCCACTGAGCACCAGGGCCTCCCTCACCTCCTCCTCACGCACAGGCACCACTGCCAGCCTGGCCTTCCCAGCCAGGTACCATGACTCCTCTAGGGCCCCAATGAGGAGGAGGTGTCCCCCAGGCCTGAGCAGAGTGGTGATGTGGTCCAGGGCCCGCTGAAAGCTGGGAAGGTCTGGACTCACAGCTTCCAGGCAGAAGGCAGAGACTAGGGCATCAGCAGGCAGAGGCGCCAGGCTGGCAATGCCCAGGGGCTGGGGTTGGTGCACATCAATAGGCAGGACCCGCTTCACTCTGGCTCGTAGCTGGCGCTCCTTCTCCTGCCAGGACTCACTGTGCAGGGGGCACAAGTAAGGCTCAGGACTGCCCCATTCAGTCTCTGCTGCTCCCCTCCAGCCACTCCATGGGAAGGCCTGCCCCCACCTCCAGCCCTTACCCCTTTCCCTCAATGAGGCAGACGTGCTGGCTGTACACGCTCCAGTTGAAAGCCCCTGGCTCCTCGCGCAGCCAGAGCCCCAGCTCTTGGCGGTTGACCTCCAGGAAATCTGTCATGGTAATGTCTTCAAAGTGGGCGCAGGCACTGAGCAGCTGGTATATGGTAGGTCCTGAACCAATATCAATGAGGGTGCGGCCAGCCACCTCACCTGGGAGGGGAGTAGAGGAAAAGGGTCCTGTGCCAGGTCTGCCCAGGCACCCTAAGGCAGGCACCCTCTGCCTTAGACAACTCTGTCTCACCTGCTTCTCCCTCTCTCTCCTGAGCTCTTCCACCTGGGTAAGAGGGTCTCTCTGGAAGACACATTACCTCTGCAGTTAGACTGAACAGGGCTGTCCTGGGTCCAAGCACTCACTGATTTGCCTTGGAAAAGGAACTTGGCTTCTTTGAGACTCAGGTTCCACATCTAGAAACCTACATCCCCAGTGAGGATTACCAGGGACAATCCTGAGACAGGTGGCTTTTCTCTCCCTCTTCAATTACTTCCTCCTCTCTCTCTCTTTTTTTTTTTTTTTTTTTTTTTTTCTTTTCAGTACCAGGGATTGAACCCAGGGGTGCTTAACCACTGAGAAACATCCCCAGCCTTTTTTACAAAAATATTTAGAGACAGGGCCTGCTAAATTGTTGAGGCTGACTTTGAACTTGCCATCCTCTTGCCTCAGCCTCCAGGCACTGGAATTACAGACCTGCACCAGGCAATTCCTCCATTTTTTTTCCTCCCCAGTATCTGCCTTCATCTCACTCTCTCTCCCTGCATTCCCCAACTGACTCTGAATTCTGAGCATTTTCACCCACCCCGCACCTTCTCTTTCCACTTCTCTTCTCTCCTGTAGCGCTGCTCTTTCTCTTCTCTCTGCACTTGATAAAAAATTAAAATAAAGGACGGATTCTCACTGTGTCGTCTAGTACTCCTGGGCTTAAGGGTTTCTCCTGCCTGAGTCTCCCCAGTAATTGGGACCACAGGCAGGGCCACCGCGCATTAGGCCCTCTTTCTCTTCTTGCACCTGTTACCTATCTCAGTTTCTTGGTCCCTATTTAGTTGGTTCCCTTCCTCCCTCTCTTCCCTTTCCCTTTCTTGATGACAGGTCCCCAGGACTCCAATGTCCCGGGTGCCTCAGTGTCCTGTCACTCACCCGTGGCGAAGGTTTGCGCCAAGCAGCGCAGCTTCCAAGGCCCGACGCCGTCCGGGCTACTCAGGTCCCCTCGAGGGGGAGCATAGTTGTTGCGCAGGTAGGCTCCGGGCTCGAAGCGCTGGTAGGCCGAGGCGACCGCAGCCCGGCCGGGATCCCAGTCGGTACCTGCTGTGTGACTCCGGTCTGCTTGGCTCATACTGCTGGTTTGAATTACCCAAAGTTTGAATTATGCCCCTTTCCCCAGTCCCCACTGCCCGCCTTGTCCCCCGTTAGTCTGGCGGCCCCTTTATCTACCCCCGGACCCCCGCCCGACCCCTCCACTGCGGGGGCGGGGGCTGAGCGATGAGCCGCCCCGGGCCATGCGCGCCCGGTGGTGGCCACCCCATCCATCTCAGTTAGTGTCGAAGCAGCAGACACGCCGGTGGTGTGGGGGCGACCGCTGGAACATCAGTTCCTGCCCCACCCTTGCTCCACACTTGTTCCCGCAGCCCTGCACCCTTGCCTCACCTGCCCCGGTCCCAATCCTGCACCCTACCTCGACTCCCGAGCCCCTATCCCACAGCTCTATCTTCATCAGCTCCAGCTCCCTGCAGCCATTCACCCCTTTGCCTGGCATTCCATCCCTTCTTTTTTCTTTTTCTTTTTCTTTTTTCTTTTTTTGTACTGGGGATTGAACCCAGGGCCTTGTACAGGTGGGTCAAGCACTCTGCCAACTGAGCTACATCCCCAGTCCCCATCCCTTTTTTCTAAGGTTTGGAATTGCTCCTGCCCCCGGTCCCCACCTCTAGGAAGGTCCCAGACTCCTACCTGGCTCCCCTTCCTCTAGGACACCCCTTCTAACCCCCACCCTTTCCTTATTAATGTCACCCTGACTCCCATCCCTCCTCCAGGCCACTATCCCATCTCTGTTCTCCAGTGCCCCTCCCCACCTCTAGAAAGGACTGTCCGTTCCAGTCTCTGCCTCGGTTGCCTGGGGCCCCAGAGTCACGTTCTGCCCTTCCCGTCCGATGGCAGCAGCGATAGGGGAAGCGAGCGGGGATAATGAACTTAGCAGGCGAAATAATGGGCCCCAGGGATCCGAGCTCCTTATCTGGGGGCTAAGGACAAAAGGTTCGGGATGTTCGCGCTGCTTCCCGGGACAGGGAACACAGGTCAGTGCAGTGACACGTGGAGCATTCTTCGAGCCACCTGGCCACTAGGGGGCGCAGTCCACGTATTCAGTTTCCTGTGGGTCTGGGGTCTTGGACCCCTCTTCCAGCCCATACTCTAGCTCCTTTTGGGACGCTGGCCAAGCCAGGCCTGCAAGTCTTACTTGGTGCTCCAGGTATCCAGCCCGCAAGATGCTACAGTCTTCCCTCCTACCCCCCAAGTGGGAAGCCAATTCCGCTCTCTGCATGTGCATGGTCTTTCTGAAACTGGACTTCTCTGGATCAGAAAGGTGCACCTCTACCCAGGGTAGGCTAGTGGTCTCTGCCAAGATCAGCCTCTGGCCTCCCTTGATCCAGGCCTCCTCTGGGCTCTCTTCTTGTCCCAAGGGGGAAAGTCTCCTTGTTGGGTCAGACAGCTAGGTTGGGATATGAGTCATCATGACAGCTGCAGGGGTCATAGACAGGAACCTGACCCCTGTAACCCCTCCCATAAAACCCACTCAGGTCAGGGAGGGTGGCACACCTGACCCCAGGCAGGATTGATTCTGTCTGGATTTGCAGCTGAGTGGCCTTGAGGTCACTGACCCCATCCACACTCTGAGGCACAGCCAAGGACAGTCCTGGTGCTAGCCTCCTCCATGTTCGCCACGAGATATCATTTAAACAAACCCTGATGCCAGCTGGCATGCTGGGCACTGCCCAGTGCCAGGGACTGAATTCGGAAGCCAGGACTGGGCAGTGGAGTTAGGGCACAGGAAGGGGACTGGACAGACGGCAACTCTGTTTACAGTTCTGCCCTGCACCCCACCCCCAAGCATGGGGTGTACCCACAGGCTTTACCATATTTAGTTCAGAGGTACAGCCTGGTCCCAGAAGTGCTGGGGGCATGAGGGGGGACATCGATGGACTGGCCCCCACAACCACAGGAAAGAGATGAGACTGGAACATGGTTGAGCATTTATTGCAGCGCTAACAGAGGGTGCTGGGGGCCCCGCCCTGCCTCTGCCCTCTTCACGTTCCCCTCCCTCCAGTCTTCTCCGTCTCCATCCCAGAGCATTCCGTTCACACTTGTCCTAGTCCTCCTCCAAAGCTGAAACCTGGACCCAGGTCACTGCTCCCAGGGACCTCTTGCCTTCACCAGCATCCCTTATCCCTTTTCCTGGTGCTGAGGGTGCTAGACTGTGCTGGCGCCCAGCTCTCCAACCTTAGTGCCCACTGTCTTTGCTCCCCTCCCTTTGGGAACTCAGGGGACCCAGGCATCCAGGCCTCTGGCTCCCTCTTCCCATAGCCCCCAACTCTGGGCAAACTACAAAGCATCCATGGCCAGCAGCTCCCCTCCACGGTCCTAGCCAGGAAGGGGCCATCCCAGGGTAGGCACAGTGGAGTCTGAGTCACAGTCCCTCTCAGCCTCTCTGTGCTTCCTGGGACATGGAGCGGGACAGGGTACGACGAAGGGTCCCAGGCTTGCTGACGGGCACCACAGGGGGCAGCTGCTTGGTGATCTCGGCCACATCCTGGCGCTCCAGGCACTGGCCACCCAGGGCCGTCTCCAGTGCCAGCAGCTCCCGCAGCTGCACGGGAGTTTCCTCGCGCTCCTCCTTGGCAGCCCCCACCTTGGTGGGTGTGAAGATAGGCAGGGGTAGCACCCGCTGGTAGGGCAGCTGGTACTCTTGCAGCCCGCGGCCCAGGATGCCCATACGCATCACCAGCCAGGGGGAGCGCTGTACCAGTGCCTGGCACTGCCCCTGCCGATGGTAGGTCTCATGCCGCTGCGTATCCTCCTCATGCAGGGAACAACTGGAAGCAGAGGGGAGGGGCAGTGAGCTCCTGCAAGCTGCTGTGTAGGGGGCTCCCTGGGGCTGCCAGGACCAGGGGGCAGGAGGGGGGATTCCACTCTGCTCTTCCCAGTAGGCACTCTTCTTGCCCCACCCCCAGAAATTTCAGGGGTTTGTGCTCTGGCCTCATAGGACTTGGGGAGGAGGCTTCGGGACACAGAGGCAGGACTCCCAGCGGACCCACACTCACCCCTCCTCGGGCCGTGTGGACAGAGTCAGATCCTTCCACTCAGCCCAGAAGGCCTCTCGGTGCTCCCGGTTCTCCTCGGACACCTGGCAGCACAGCTCTGAAGTGGCCATGATCACTTCTTGCTCCCTACGCTCTGCTCCGCACCTCCCACGTCCTTTAAATAGTCTCCTTCTCCCCTTCTCTGGGGGCTATTTTTGGCCCCTCTGGCGTCAGATGCTATAAGCAGAGCCAAGGCTCACTGGTGGGGGGGGGGCTCTGAGTCTAGGACAGGGGTTGGGGCTTTTGGACTCTGGCTGCCCCCAGGTCAGAGGTTAGTTTCTGAAGGGAACAAAGTGCTCTGGTGGGCACAGGGGTCTTCAGATCAGCACCGCCAAGCATCTGACACTCTGCAGACACTGTCTCAGACCAGGCACATGCCCAGCCTCGTGCTACCTTGGCATTGCCCTCTGCCCCGCCTGTTCCCCTTGCCCAGGGAGGACAGCACTTGTCTGTAAACAGAGCAGGAGAGAGCAGGGACTGATGCCCCTCGCTCTGTTCCAAGACTGCCAGGTCCCCCCCACCCCCACTTTCTCCTCTCCTGGGCTCAAGGGCACATCCTCAGCTGGGCCCCCTGGACCGGGAGGGACAGTGCACCAAAGTTCGGGTTCCCAACCACCATATATTATCAGCAAGGGGAATGGATGCCACCCCCACACCTGGAGTCCTGCAGCATGGACCTCTGTCTGGGTTTTCCTTCCTTGTGGTCAGTGGTCTCTCTAAGCAGATCCAGTCAGGGTGGAGGGGGCATGTGGCCCTCGATTCTACCTCTGACACCCATGCAAGGAGGAATGGGGTGAAGTGGGAACACAGGGGTTCTGAGGAGGAGCAGTCAGAAGACCTGGCTCCAGTCCCAAGTCAGTCATAAACAGGCTATGTGACTATGGCCCAGTCCCTGTCCCCTCTGGGCCTCACTTTCCCTGTTTTCTGGCTATAACAGGATGGCCAGAAGAGCTCTGGGTGTGGGACCAGCAGTCATTCATGGGGAGAAAGGTAAATCTGCTGCCCAGCCCCCCAGGGAGCAACTCATGGTACAAGAAGCTGGTGTCCAGGGCATGGAGGCATGAGAAACAAGGGAATCACAGAGCGGAGCAAGCAAAGGCCCTGGAAGAGGTAGTGACAGGAGCTGAGGATGGCCAGTGGAGATAGCAGAGCTCCCAGCTGGGCTGGTCACAGACCTGCATGCTGACTGCTGAGGCACTACACCGATTCTGCACATCTAATCTCCTGATCCTGATGCTGCTTCCATTACTATCAAGTGGGAAATGGAGGCTCAGAGATAGATTTGCCCAGGGTCACACACCTGTTTCTGGGACCAAGATAGGATCACCTGACTCAGAACAAAATGAACCATTCAGAGGACAGCAGGGGTCAGGTGGGGAGGAGGCCAGGAGGAGGGTAAGGCCCAGCTCCAAGCTGCCCTAGTGTGTGTTTGGAGGAGAGTGGAACCCAAGGGTCCCAGGGTCCTGGGATCCCAGAGGTGCCTCAGGGACCCTGAAGCCCAGGGCCCACCTAAAGGACCCCCTGGACTCCAGACCCAGGACAATCAAGACCTGCTATGACGCTGATGGTGGCTCTTCCACTTCCAACCCTGGCCCAGGGGACACTGCTCTCTTACAACATACCAGCTGGGCTGAAGCAGCCAGGGCTTGCTCCTCCTGGGTGAGCTCATGACGGGTGGCCTTGCTGTATGCTAGTGACCCACTCCTTCCCCATCCAAGGGCTGCTCTTTGATGTACTCATGAGTGAGGAGACCCAGGCCCAGGACAAGGCAGCAGAAGCAGAAAGGGCTTTTTTTTTTTTTTTTTCATTCATGTGTTTAATTGGCTCAAATTACAAAGGTCCCCAAGGAGGCCTGGGGAGAGAGGGACAACCTGGGAGAGGCAGAAATTCACTACCAGCACCCACCGCCCCCTCATTTGCCCCCACTCCTCCACAGGTGCATATGGAAAAAGGTCCCAGACCCTTTAAATAACTCTAAAAAACCTTGATAACAAAGGAGGCAGACGAAGGCTCCTTCACCTTAACACTGGTGACAGGCTGCTCTGCCCTGCTCTGTCTTGCCCAGGGCGCTGGCCCTCTGAAACCAAGTCTGAGCTTCCATCCCAGCTCTCCCCTGACAAAGTCCGGGATGGCAACTTCTCCAGAGGGCAGGGATGTCATGTAAACATCAGCAGGACAGACCCCACTTCTTCAGCCAGCAGCCTCCAGAGTCCACATGCTCCACCCCACACCTGCTCAGGACCGTGGTTCCAGACAGTGCGGCTCAGGGCAGGGAAGTAGCTTGGGACCAAAGTGCTACCCACTGCTTGGGGCCAGGTTCTCTGTGGGCCATGGAAAGCCCAACCAGCCCCCCTTTCTAGCTCTGGAGGCTGTGGCGGCAGTACCCCGACCTGCAGGGTAGCAGAAGGGCATGTTCACACCCGGGCCCCCAACTCTCCAATGCGCTGCCGCAGGTGAAAGGCAAATTCAAACATGGTGGCTGCGAGGCTCTGGTGGATGAGGTACCGGGGCAGGTGACCCTGGGGGAGGCAGGAAGAAGTCACACCATGGCTCATCCTTAGCAGGGCCTCCCCCTCAAGCTGGCACTGGGAGGAGTGCTCTGGCCAGAATGCAGGTGCGGCTCTGGGATCCTGCCTGGGCCCTGCTCCCCGCACTCCTGGTGGGAAGAACACGCTGTGCCTGGGGCTTGGCAGCAGCCACACAAACAGAGCTGGTGGGTCTGGGCTGGCAGCCAGCCACCCCACTTCAGGGCCTCAGGATCAGAGGTAAGATGGGGAAGGCCCGTGTCCTCCTGCAACTCGCGGCTAGAACACCATCTGGACCCTGCCCTAATCCTCAAGTCACAAAGTGGGCTGAGTAGGGGCCCCTGAGCAAGGCAGAGAGCCCTCAAGGTCACTCAGCAACCAAGCCAGGAGCAGTGTCCCCTCCACCCCACAGGCCTGACTCATAGCCCCGGGTGCCCACCTTGAGATCTGTGTTAAGAATCCAGACAAAAGTGCAGACTCGAGGGTTGCTGGCTGATTTGAGCACGACGAAGCCCCCAGGACCATTCTCTCCCCTGAGGACAGAGTTATCACTGAGGGAGGGGCACACGGGAGCCAGCAAGGCCCCTGCCCACCCCACTGTCTGCTCCAGGCCCAGCTTGCATTGGGATGGAAGAGGGAGTGCAGATGCTGGTCCAAGAACTGCACCCTGTCTCAGCAGGCTCACACCTGGTGTCCAGAAGCTGGGGTATCAGCCGTCAGTGCCACCCACTTGGTGTTGTTCCTCCAACAGTTGCTGGTGCTTGTGCACCCCAATGGCAGAGAGTTCGCTATCTTTTCAGCCCTCACCAGCTCTGCCCAGGGATGTGAGTGAGGTCAGCTCTGGCTGTGAAAGGGTGCCTGCCACTCCTCACCCCTGCCCAACTCAGGGAGCACGTGTGCCGTCAGCCTCCAGAAGAGGGCGCCTTCCCAGGAGGCCATCAGGGCTGGGACCCAGTTCACCTCTGATGGCCTTTCATTCTCCCTCAGGCCACTGAGCACGCTTAGGCCCACTCCAGAGATAAGGAAGTTGGCACCCAGAGTGGAAACAAGCTTGCCCTTCACCCAGCAAGTCCCTCGCAGGGCCGAGAGCCCCAATCTCACATTCTAAGAAGAGCGTTCTGCGGGGAAGCGTGAGACCCACAGGAGGCCCGCGGCTTTGCAGTCGGGGTTAGAGGGTGGGGAGAAGCAGAAGGAAGCCTGGGACAGGCACAGGAAGACCCCACTTCTCTTACTCTGAGGGGACTCCTGCGTGGTCCAAGAGAACGGTGAGGCTAAGGGGATGGAGGAGGAGGAGGAGGAAAGGGACCCTCGGGGGACCCGAGTCTCCTGAGGCAGGAAGATGAAGCCCAGAAGCCAGATCCAGAGCAACCCCATGGCTCCCAGCCCTGCTTCTTGGACTAGTTCCCACCCTGATCTATCCCAGCCAGCTGCCCACCGCACATGTCCCTCCAGCCTGGTGGCCTGGTTCCAGTCAGCAAGATTAACAGGATTAGGGGCTGGGAGGGGCAAGGCCTGGCGGGACAGGGAGCAGGAACACGACCTCAGCAGGAGAATGTGCCCAGCTGCACATACTGTACCCTGTGCTGCTCACTGCTTCCAGGAGAGGGGCTGCGGCATGATCCCAGGCAAGGCCCCGGCTCACCTGACATATTTGTGCGTTGGAGGCTTGGCACAATGTGTGGTGGCAATTCCTGATGAGAGGTACCGGTCTCTGCGCCGCTCTATGCGCCGGACATTCACAAAGTCCCTGGGGGAGGGAAGGTTAGAACTGGGGGCACAGAGCTCAAAGAGAGCTGGGCATGGTGGCACACACCTGCAATACCAGAAACTAGGGAGGCTGAGGCAGGAGGATCGCAAGTTCAAAGCCAGCCTCAGCAAAAAGCGAGGCACTAAGCAACTCAGTGAGACCCTGTCTCTAAATAAAATACAAAATAGGACTGGGGACGTGGGTCAGTAGTCGAGTGCCCTGAGTTCAATGTCCAGTACAAAAAACAAAAAACAAAACACAAAACAAAACAGAGCCCAAGGAGGCCTGACTGTGAGAAGAGGGTGTGGGGATACTCACCTGGGAGAGACCACACCGCCTGCAGCCCCTGCAGACACGTCGTAGGAAACAAGGGTGTTGTCTTCCACCCGCTGCAGGATCTGAGGGCCCATCAGGGGGACATGAGGTATAGCCCACGCCAGGAAAGCCCCAGGGACAGTCCACATGTCAGGAACCTCCTAAACCAGCCTCCTCCCTGCCTGGGACCCAGGACTAAAAGCCATCACCCTTTGTGGGCCCTGGGTTGGGCATTCCACAAGCATACTCCTGCTTCCCACCTCCTGCCCTGGCCCAGGAGGCACTAAGACCATCACCGCATTTTACAGAGGGGGAAGCCACGTCCCCTTGTTGTTACTGGTCACTCTAGGATATGGCTGGGCCCTGACACATGTGGGGAGGCAGGGCTGACCTGGCAGGCAGTCACTGTCTTGTTCCACAGCACCATCCTCTCGGGCTGCAGAATCACCTCTTGGTACACCAGCTCCGCAGGACAGGGCAGGAAGGTCTGGGCAGGACAGGTGGAGGTGGGTGGTGTCAGAGGGGCTCGGGCACACCAGCCCTTCCCTGTGGTGGGGGTGCTGCAGGGGGGTCCCTCAGCCCCTTCCTAAAGCCCCAGATGGAACAGGAGGCTCCAGGATCCTCCTCCCTTCACTCACCTTCAGGATGAAGGTCTTGCCATGAAAGGGAACCTCGATGGTGTACACAGTGTCCCCATACTCCTGTGGCAGGGACAGAAGGGTGGTAGGGAGGAGCATGGGGTGGGTTGTGGCATGAATGAGTGACAGGCAGGACAGGTTTTCACCAGGATTTGGGGGCTATCTGAGCAGCCATTAAAAAATGGTGGTTCTGGGCCAGGGCTGTGGCTCAGTGGTAGAGCGCTTGCCTGGCATGTGTGAGGCACTGGGTTCAATTCTCAGCACCACATAAAAATAAATAAAATAAAATAAAGGTTCATCAACAACTAAAAAAAAAAAAAAATTAAATGGTGGTTCTGAGGAAAGCTTCTGATCTTAAGTTGAAGGACAGGAGTCCAGCTACAGCTGTGACCATGAAGAACCACATCTCTAAGCCAACAAGGGCTGCCATAGGGACTGGCTAGAGAGAGAGGGACTGGGGCGTGTTTCCCTGTTTTCTAAGCTCTCTGCAATCTTTGTAGATAATATTGTTTTGATCATGAAACAAAACACCGGACACAGGGCAGAGCCTGGCTTCCCCTTCAAAGTGGGAGCCGAGGGCTCAGAGCAGCAGGGAATGAGGACTGAGCTCCCACATGGGGGAGACAGGAAGTGTCAGATCCAGCCTGGGCCCCCTCTCGGGGCAGGAATAGGACTCCAACCCATGCAACCCTCAAATATATGCCTCGGGCCTCAGGAAAGGAGTGAAAACTCTAACACACACAGGAGGGGCAGGTAGCAAAGGGGCTTCTTACATTATTCTTCTCAAACTTCCAGTTCTCCTCCTGGGCCAGGATCTGGTCCACCACGGCAGTGGCCTCCTTCCCCTGGCGGAGGTACTCTCGCTCCTGGTCAGGAGTGAGAGGCAGGAAGGGGTCAGATGGGGGCCTGATCCAGTTAGACATGGGGTCTGGGCTGCTCTCCCAGGGGTCTTGGGGGCTTCCTGAGGCCTGTGGCTGTGCCAGCTCCTCCTGGGTCCCCAGGCATGGGGCACACCAAGGGGCTTGTCTGGCCCAAGGAGCAGTCCTGAGGTCCACCCTGGCTGAGGCCAGCGCTGGCCCTTTCAGGTGCACACTCTGAGGAGGCTCAGGGTAGGCAGCCAAATACCTGGGCAGAGAAACTTTTCTTCCCAGTGACTTCCTCATCTGATTCGTTGTCAGACCCTGTGGAAAACAAGCAGAGATGACAATGGCAGGGGGTGGGGAGTGTGGGAGGGGGTAGGGCTCAGGGACCTGAAGTGCAGGGATGTGGGGGAGAGGTTGTTGGCTTTCCCCAGGGAGCCTGAGGGAAGAACAGAAAGAACAGGCCCAGCCCACCCTCGCCTCACACAGCCCCTCCCTTTCAGCTCCCCACCCACCAGCCCTCACCTGCAAAGGATTCTGGGGGTGAGTAGAACTGGCCCTCAGACAGAGCGCCAGAGAACAGCAGGGGTCCACGTGCAACAGCAGCCTGGGCAGCAAGATACCCTGTGGGAGCAGACATGGGCAGCCATCGTCCCAGACCAAGGACACTCATGCAGAAGTAGCCTGGGGTCCCCTTTCCCCACCCCAGGCTCTAGAGCTGCTCCTAGGAGGCAAATGGCTCAGAACTCACTCTCATTTCTGAAACTCTCCTCCCTTAGGGCTTGGCTTACCCTCACTGCCCTCACTCTGTCCCCCAGGACTCACATCGCTCCTCCTCAGCCTCCTGGGGTAGAACTTTGAAGTCAAGGAACCAGGTCTCCAACCAGGCAAGGACAAAGGAGACGATGGGAAGCAGGTAGCCAAACGCACCTTTGCTGAGCAGCTAAGGTGGAAGGAGGGGGCTGAGTTCCACAGCGGCGGGGGGCGGGGGTCACCTCAAACCCAGAGCCCCTTCCTGGAGCCACCAACTCTGGTATCATACACCCCATTCCCGGCACCATATGCTTAGATACCCTCTGTGGCACATGCCTCTGAGATGGATTAATTGAGTCTGCAGCAGGACATACCAGGGTTAGGCTGTAGGAAGAACTTTGGTTTCTGGGGTGGGGGGATAAGTGCAGGAAGCAGAGGATGATTCCTTGGAAATATCAAAAGACAGGAGTCCCCCTCATTCCAACCCTGACAACAGAGGCAGACACCCAAAGCCAAAGAAAGGGCCCTTTCTTAGGAGAAGCCCACTGAGCCACTGACCTCAGAGAGGATAACCTTGACAATGAGGAAGGCACTGGAGACCAGTGTAGTGACCTGACAGGAGAGAAGGAAAGAGGTCAAGAGGGAAGGCAGAGGCTGGGGGTGAGTCCTCCCCCATCCCAGCCCCTGCCCCCAGGTGGTGGCAAAATGGCATCTTACCGCAATCACCCACCAGTGGCGGAGTCGCAGCACAGCATAGCCCAGGAGTAGTCCAGAGAAGCGGAAGAAGGCCAGGACCTAACCGAGGAGGGCACCAGACCGTCAGCGGCAAGCTGCGTCCCCACCCAGCTGCAGGGTGAACTGCCCCCAGCCTGCTCAGCATTTCTTTGAGACAATTTGGATGGGATTTTGGACGGGATCCTGTCTCCCTCATCCCACTGGGGCTCTCTGAAGGTGGGGCCCCACTGAGGATCTTCTGGAAGACGGAGGATGGGGGCCAAGTCTCCTGATAAGACTGGGTGTGTGGTAGAAAGAAGGGAACCAGCCGCAGGCACCTCACTGCTCCCTCTGCCCCCGGGGCCCTGGGGTCTCCCAAAGCCACTCACAAAGATGTCAAAGAAGGACGTCTTAAAGTTGTAGTGGATGATCTCCTGCTCCAGGTTCTTGCGGATGCCTGTGTTGGTCTGGGGGAGGAAGACAGGAAGAGCTCTGCGGGCAGAGCCGAGTCCCCGGGGCTGCCCCCACCTCCCAGAAGGGGGAGGTAGGAGGGGCTGGGGGACCGGGAGAAGAGGCCAAAAAGGCTAAGCCACCACCCAAAGGGGTTCCCAAAGCACCAAGGGAGCTCAGCCAGAGGTACCAATACTGTTCCTCCAGGAGCCAGGCAGCCCAGCCGGGCAGGGCTGGATTCCAGTGCGCTGGCCTAGGGCGGCAGGTCTGGTGGCCTTGGAGCAGTGCAGGGAGGTGCTGGGAATCTGCTCTCATGTAATTCCATTTTCCTCCCAGCACTGTGGTGCTCCACCTTCCCAGCCAATAATCCATCTGAGGTGATGGGGACTGAGGTGGGTGGTGGGGGCCGGGGTGGGTGGTGGTGTCAGACAGAGCCCCAGGTAGCAAATCAATTGATTAGGTTTGGGCTTAATGGACAAAATCTATCAACCTGCCAGAGAAGATGGTGTGGGGAGTCAGGAGACTTGTCCTCGCTCCTGTCTCTACCCCAAAGACCGAGGATGGGAGCCAAGTCCCCTGATAAGATCGGGTGTGTGGTAGAAAGAAGGGAACCAGCTGAAGGCACCTCACTGCCTCATTTTCACCAGGATCCCTGAGACTTCAATGTCAGGGGTGTGGAAGGTGAGGGGCTGTATGGACACTGGGAACCAGACTGAGGTATGAGTCCTCTGAAGGATGGGGGTGCCAGCACCCCTGGAGAGGAGGGGGTGTGAGGTGACCCCAGGGAATGGAGCCCAGGGACCCCACTGAGGAAGACCCTTCACACCCACCTAGACTGGGGCTTCTGGCCTCTGGCAGGTCATCTGGATTTAGTGCTGGATTTAGGGGGTTTATTAAAGACACTGACAATCAGGCCTCAGTGCGAATCTGAGGCTGAATACCAGGAATCTTTATAAAGCTTCCAGAAAATCCTGGGGCTAGGAAGAGGGACAGCAGTCTGAATGCTGATGGACATACACTGACACTTGAATGCCCCTCCAATCCCCACCATGTGGTTCTACCCCAAGACCACCTGGGCTTCATGAAATCTGACATCACCTCTACTTTGGCCTGCCCGAAGAGTCCCAGTCTGGCACTCAACCCTGCCCTCTTCTTCCTGCCCCTGGGCTCCACAGCCCCTCCTACCCTTTGCAGTCTCTGTGGCTCTGAATGCCGGACCAGGTCCCTCAGTCACACACAGCATGGGGACCCACTAGCACCACCCAGATCAGGACTCAATAATCATGTTTCACTCCCTGATTTGCCAGTCTCTCTGCTGGTCACACAACCCAACAGGTGTCCTTGCCTGGACAACACAGTCTGCTAGAGAACTGAAAATACATAGAGTCCAAAATACCAAGATAGAACTACGAAACTGAAAATTAATAAAATTTTCATTAAGTGTCATCCAGGGGAAACATTACAGGGATTCTACGAAGAGTTAAATCCAGTATTCTGGCATTTTCATTACATTTGAAAACAATTTGTGGTTAGATTCTCTTTGCAGGAATCTCAAGTACACATGAGGACTGCTGAGTCTTCTCACCTGACAGCCAAATAATCTCAAAAGAAAAATTATCAAAAAATTTTCAGCCCTTCTCCAGTTATAAAATCTGGATTGAACATAGGCTGTGTGTGAATTTTCTTCTTTGCTTTGTATTAGTTGGAACCTTTGAAAGGAAGGATTCTGAGCACTCAGAAGCTCTGCAAAAAGCCCTGAACCTTGCTGGGTCTCAGTTTTTTCATTGTTAAGATGCCCCAGGGCCCTCCATGGCAGCTGCTCCAGCTCACTGACAGTGCCATCTCATCTCTGGTGCACAAAGGACAGACACCTGCCCTGAGCCCTGCCTTTCTTTTCAGACCAACATGCCCCAAATAAAACTTATTGTCTCTATACCTATGCCAGCCCCTTCCCCAAACTCCACTTCTATAAAGAAAGGCACTGTCAACCAGTGTGGTGGCATGCGCCTACCGTCCCAGCTACTCAGGAGGCTGAGGCAGGGGGACCACTTGAGCCCACAAGCTCAAGGCCAGCCCGGACAACACAGTGAGACCAAGGAAGGAAGGGAGGGAGGGAGGGAGGGAGGCAGAAAGGGAGGAAAGAAGAAAAGGGGAAAGAAGAGGAGAGAAAAAAAGAAAAGTAAGAAAAAGAGAGAGGCTTTGCTTTCCTATCACTCAAGTTAAGACCAGGCTACTGTCACTCAGAACCTTGATGGGGAGCCCACGCTGCAGAGGAAAGCAGAGGGAGGCCCCAAGGGGCTGAGGTCACGGTGAACAGAGGAGCTGGGGTGAGACCAGGCTTGGGACACCCTGCTCTGAGTGCTGAGGTCAGATGAGGCCCCGCCACCAGCTAGACTGTGTTCCTGCGGTGGCGAGCACTGTGTGGGATAGGGTGAGACAGTTCTGTCTCCAAGCACGAGGTGGCATCTCACCAAAACCAGAGCCATGAGGAACTCAGAGTTTTACTGTTTTCCTTCCCACTGTCCCTCTGCTTTTAGCACAATGCCTGGGCAGAGCAGGAACTCAAAAAATGTTCTCTGAATGAATGAATGAATTAGAGCCAGACAATAAAGTAGGGCAGAAAGAAGACAAGATAGTTTCATGGGCTCAGCCAGCTCTGATTGTCCTCCACTTCCACTAGGGGGCAGCATGGTGCAGAGCCAAGCGCCCAGCTCAGCACCCAGCGGGTCTGTTCAACCCCCTCCTTCTCAAACTTGTTGAGCAGCAGCAGCCAAAAGACTCAGCTGGTCATAGCCCCGTTTTCTTCATGCAGATGACAGCAACTGTTCTTGTCTCCTGTTCTTCACTAGTCCCAGATAATCAACCCAATGGAAGAGACAATCCCCCCACGCAGTAGATGCTGAACTGCGCAGGGGTGACTCCCAAACATAGCTTGTCCCTCCAGCGTTGCCCCTACTCACGTTCAGCTCGATAATCCACAGCAGGGAGATAAAGAGCAGGTCGAAGGTGACAAAGAGGCAGAAGGTGCGGCGGACATCAGAGATGGCCCTGCGCTTCTCTGGAGGTGGTGGGAGGAAGTGTGATGAGAGGCTTTGGCTATGGGACAATGATGAGCCCAGGGAAGCCACGGCTGGCAGGCTGCGCTCCAAGTCACGAGTCAGTTCCCGGGGTCGTGTGCTCATCCTGGTGGCCCCACGTTGGGGTGGGGAAGGCAGGGCCTCAGCAGCAGGGCTAGGAAAGAGGGAAGTGGCTGTCAGGGTCTTGAAGGCCACATATATCCCCTGGGCCCTCATTTGTTCCAAAAACATCTGGCGCCCCACCCTATCCCAACCCCACAATCCAGGACAGTCTCTGCCCAAATTCCCTCCATGGGTCTGGCTTCCCAGGCTGGGAGGGCAGTGAGCATCCCTCCTACTCTCTGCCCTTCTTTGCCCTCCCTGCCAAGAGCCCAGCAGCCCCATGGTTCACCCTGGAGGGCCCTGGGGCTCCTCAGCTGGGCACCTACCCACTCCCAGATGCCCAGGGACACAGCCTGTTCCTGCCAAGCCCAGCCTGGTGGTCAGCCTCTGGTCCTGTCAACAGCCTCTTGGCCTGCACCACCCCCAGGAGAAGAGGCCCCAGGCTCTGTTCTTTGTTTTCCCAGCACAAAGCCACTTTCCCTCCCAGCAGCCAGCCCTCCCCTCCACCACTAATCCATGGCAACTGGGAGGAACTCCGAAGAGTGTGTGTGTGTGTGTGTGTGTGTGTGTGTGTGCGCGCGCGCGCTCTGCAGACATCTTGGACCTTCTCTCCAACTCCACCCCCTCACCGCCACCCCAGGCCCAACTTTCATCACCTCCGGCCGGTGGCTGCTCATGGATCTTCAGGCCGCCTCTCGCACCCCTTAACTACCCCTTCCCCACACTGTGGCCAAAGGAAGCTTTACAAAGCACCACCCCAGGGCTTCTGCCACTCATGGGACAGCAGGCCCTCTCCTCATCAGTCCCTCTGGGGGTGGCCTCTGCCCAGCTCTTACCAGGGAGCCCCATCTCACTACCACTACCACAACATGGCCTTCTTTCAAATCCCTCAATGTGGCAGCCCTGATTTGCCTCCGGCCCCAGGATCTGACTCTCTCCATTGTCTGGAATATTCTTCCACAGCTCTTCCAAAGGCAGTTCAAAGGCCCTTGGCTCAGCGTCCCTCCCCACTCAGAGCACAGTATGTCACACTGCTTTAACCTCCTCAGCCAACTCCTCATTGTCTGGAATCTCTACTGTTCTAGTTTATGGTTCACCCTTTCTCTTAGTAGAACTTCTGTAAACCTCAAGGGTGGGTGACATGGTCACTGCGGTCTCCCTGGTACTCAACACAATGCATGTAGTAGTTCACAACTACTGCTGAATAAACAAACACTCCAGAGGGGCTCCTGGCCCTCAGCTCCTTGTATGCAGCAGAAAGGAACAGAGAAAAGCCTAAAGAGAGCGAGAGCCTGCCATTTCCAAGGTAAGCCCAGTGTTCTGCTGCCCAAAGCCTGAACTTCTACCATGGTGTCCATGCCCACGCAGAGAAGGATGGTTCCTTCTATTTTACAGATAAGACCACCAAAGCCCACAGGGATTCCTTAACATGCTGTGCAAACATAGGGCTCTCATAAATCCTAAGAGAAAAGGAGCTCCAGAGGCCTAGCGTCCCTGATCTACCAATTTGCTGGTAGTCCATGCCTGTATCGCAGCAACTCTGGAGGCTAAGACAGGAGGATCACAAGTTTGAGACCAGCCTCAGCAATTTGGCAAGAACCTCAGCAACTTAGCAAGACCCTGCCTCAAGATTAAAAATATAAAAATAAAAAGGACTAGAGAGGGCCAGACATGGTAATGCATGCCAGTAATTCTAGCAGCTCAGGAGGATGAGGCAGGAGGATCCCGAGTTCAAAGCCAGCCTCAGCAATGGTGAAGCACAAAGCAACTCAGTGAAATCCTGTCTCTAAATTAAAAAAAAAAAAAAAAAAAATAGGACTGGGATGTGGCTCAGTGGATGAGTGCCCCTGAGTTTAATCCCCAGTACCAAAAAATAAAAAGAACTAGAGAGGTAGTTCGGTGGTAAAACGCCCCTGGACTCAACTGCCAATACCAAAAGAAGAAAAAAAGAAAAGAAAAAACCATTTTTCTTTCTCATAGTTCTGGAAGCTAAAGTTCAAAACCAAGGCAGAGCCATACTCCCCTCTGATTTTTTGCCTCTTCCCGGGTCCGGCTGTCACCAGCCACTTCAGGCATTCCCTGTCCTGCAGCTGTGTAACTCTAGGCTGTTGTCACATGATGCTTCCACTGCAGCATCTTCACATGGCTGTCTTCTTATAGGGACACTAGTCCTATTGGATTAGGGGCCCACCCCACTCCAACATGAGCTCAGCTTAACTCATAAATCTGCAATGAACCCATTTCCAGACAATGGTCACATTCTGAGGTTCAGGGGACAGCACTTTGATGTATCCTTTTTTGCAAGGGGGGGGGGGGCAGGGGACAGATTTCAATCATAAGAGTAACTTCTCTTTAAGTGTCCTTTTTTTTTTTATGGTGCTAGGGATTGAACCCAGGGCCCTTATTTAGTATCTTGATTTACACTCCTGTATTTCTTTATATATATATGTGTATATATATATATATATATATATATATATATCTTGTATCTTTCTTATATATACAGTGGCCTGTCACAGATGCTGTTTTGGGTTTGTTTTTTTTTTTTCACTTAACAATATATCTTAGAAATCACTCCCTATTATGTCTCCCTATAGAGATCTTCCTAATTTATAAGGTTGTTAAGTACCCTTTTTTTTTCTCTCTCTCTCTTCGTGCTGGAGCATGACCTTGTACACACTGAGCTACCTCCCCAGCCCTAGTACTTCATTTGTGATGAGCCACATTTGAGCCAATTCACCTCCTATGAAGAAACATTTAGATTTGTAACGATCAGAAATGCTACAATGAAAAACATAGTATGTAGTTATTTTCCTGTTGCTGGAAGTGTATCTTCAGGACAGATTCCTCGAAGTGGAATTGCTGGGTCAAGCTGCGTGTGTGGTCTTGTTAGGCTGCTGCCAAATTCCCTTTGCAGTATGCATTCCCGTCAGGAATGTATGAGGGTGTCCAGAGCCCTCAGATGGGATGTCCCGCATGTCTGTCTGGGATTTTTCCTCTCCACCTCTCTACCCTTAGGACTGGTGCTTCCGCCCCCATCACCTCTATCCGTGCCCCTCCCCACCTCCTTCCCCAGCTCGTCCTGGTTTCCACCTCCCTCCCTGGACACAGGACTTGGGTGGCACAATAGCTTAGATGTGAGACTCACTTGGAGTGGCAACCACACTGACACTCACACACCCAGAAGTCCCTGGGTGAGAGATGAGACGAGGCTTAGAGCAGAGGTGCTGGGATCCAGGAGCGCTGAAGCAGCTAGGGGGCACAGGACCAGGCCCTGGGCTCAGTGGGAGGGGGAGTGGCCAAGAGTCAGCGGAAGGGGTTCCACATCAGCCTCCTCACCAAGCAACTCCAAGTCCACAGAGAGCCTGGGTCCCAAATTAAGAGACCTGCACCTGATCTTGGGCAGTCACTGATTCTGAGTGGTTTTATATACTCCTTTTTTTGGGGGGAAGGGGGGTACCGGGGATGAACTCAGGAGCACACTGAGTCCCATCCCCAGCCCTATTTTGTATTTTATTAGAGACAGGGTCTCACTGAGTTGCTTAGCACCTGCCAAATTGCTGAGGTTGGCTTTGAACTCGGGATCCTCCTGCCTCCGCTTCCCCAGCCTCAGGGCTTACAGGTGTGCGCTACAGCACCCAGCTTAAATTCCTTTTTTTAATCAAGAGAAACTTAATTCTTTTTTTTTTACTCAGAACCTCAGTATGTAAAACATAAAAACCTGACTGTTGGGAGTGTAGCTCAGTGGTAGAGCATGTGTACAGCATACACAAGGCCCTAGATTCAATCACCAGCACCAAAATTAAAGAAACAAACCAAAAAGGACTGCTGTGAGTGACAGTGGCTGCAGAGTCCCCCAGGTTACAGTGTAAAAGTGTGGCTCATTCACATGACTTCAAAAAGCCTTTGAGGGGCTGGGGTTATGGCTCAGTGGTAGAGTGCTTGCCTCACATGTGTGAGGCACTGGGTTCAATTCTCAGCACCGCATATAAATAAATGAATAAAATAAAGGTCCATCAACACTAAAAAATATTAAAAAAAAAAAAAGCCTTTGAGCTCCACCAGGCTAGAGAGTGAAACATGCCTTGGCCTGAACACAGCCCCATCAGTTCCCCAAGCGCTGTTTCTCTGGCTGTTTCCAGACCTCCATCAGAGGGCAGAGGATGGCACATGCCCTGGCCTCACAGGGAGGCAAGAGTGAGAGCTGTGAGGACGGAGATGGCAGGGCTGCCACCCAGCCCCTGGGAGCTGCCCCCCCCCCCCCGCCCCGCAAGCACCTTCAGAGGTGTCAGGAGAGGAACAGCACTTGTGGCGTGAAGCAGTCAGCCTGGGACAGCTGCAGACTTGACACTGTACATGTGGAAGCTGAGCTGTTAGGTGTGGGGAGGGGGGACGGAGGCAGGCAGCAAGGACTCAGAGGTTCCCGTTGCCCTAGACTGGGCGGGGATGGGCAAGTCAGGTGCAGGGGTTATTCAAGTTACTGCAGCTCTTGAGGCAAAGGGAATGGATGGGTACAGGCCTCAAGGCCCTTCCCAGACTGTCTCTCCAGGACACGCTAGTTAACAGTTCAGCTTACAACAGGGTTTTGGCTGGGCAACAGACTCAGGCAGCAGCCAATATCCTGGAAAAAGGAATGGACTGGGACTGGGGAGATAGCTCAGTGGTATAGCACTTGCCTAGCACACCTGAGCCCCTGGGTCCCATCCCCAGCCCCCCCCCCAAAAAAAAAAAAAAGAGAAAGAAAGAAAGGAAAAAGAATGGACCCTGAGACTGGGGTTCAAAGCCTGGACTTCCCCCTTCCTAAACGTGTGATCTTTGTGAGGCCATTTCCTCAAAGTGTGTATGTGTGTGTGTGTGTGTGTGTGTGTTTTACTGAAGATCAAGCCCAGGGCCTCAAGCATGCTAAGTCCTTACTCTACCACTGTTACTTACACCCTCAGCCCCTCGGCTATTTTTTTTTTTTTTGGTAGTTGTAGATGGACAGAATGCCTTTATTTATTTATTTATTTATTTATTTTGTTGTTGTTGTTTAGTTACATGCAGTGCTAAGGA